GAGGAATTGTATCAGTATGTCACGTCAATATTGCTTCCAGTGTATTAGTCAAACATACAGTATACAACAGAAGTGAGTACACCCAGGTAGCATCACTATAAATCACATGATACAACACTATTCAAGATGAAAAGTATAGTATTTATAGGACAGATCAGGCAAAATTGTAATGTAGACACATGCATTTTCTGTAAAGCTGCTTTGAGTAGAGTACTCTAAATGAGGGCATAAAGTGCAAAAGCAGCAGCAGTGCACTGACCCTAGACTTGGTTGACATCACATCTCCGTCTTCAAAGACTATCAAAACAGCCAGTGGGTTCCCTCGTGACATTTCCTCTTCCTCCTCAGCAGCAATTATGGGGACTGCTGCCTTCTGAACCTGCTCAGGCTCCTTTTTCTAAATGCATTAAAAAAGTGTTAGTATGTGTCACAACAAATCATAAAATTAACCCTTGTGTGGAAAGACATATTTAAATTGTCATAAATGAAAATAAAGGTGTGAAGGATCAGAGTAGTGTTTATTCAGTTGGGCATGTGCCCATTTAAAACCCTGTAGTACTTTTCAAAATGTGTCATTTTCACAACATGTCTTCCAGAGCTGTCCGTCAACTGGATTTAATTGGGAAAAACTTTCAGGGGTGTATCAGAAGAATGTTCTTGAGCTTGAATTGAATTGAATTTTTATTAATAAAACAACCAAATAAATATAAATTAATAAATATAAATAATAAATCAACACACCTTTATACAAACCCAAAGCAACTTTAAGATAAGTGCAAGTGGAAATATAACACAAAATACCTTTTTTGTAATCCATATTAAGAAAGCCTACTATAACTAGAACTTTCAAGACCCAACTCGTATTCTTCTGAAGCATAATGACTGAATCAAAGACAAACTGAAATATAATATGTTATTAATTCTGCCAAAACAGTCTGAATCAAAAATGGTGGCACAATAAATTCTTAAAAAGATGTAATTATTCATTGCTATCATTGTGTAATGTAGAAGAATGCAGATGTACAAGAAAGAATTGTCTCTGATTTTATTATTTCCATACAGTGTATACCATTTATGCCTTAAACAATGTACTGTTCATGTTAAGTATTCTAAAGTTACTTAAATATTTTTAAATACACACGTTTACCTGCCCCAGCAGCGCTTTAGATCTAGCAACGCCCCTGATAAAACCCATCAATTAAATCAATGTGAATTCTGCTTAACTTACTTCACTTTAGGCCTGTAGTATTGCAGCCATCTTGTTGCCTTTGACATCCCAGCACTCCATGCTGCCTTTGCTCTGAAAACATTGATTTCAAAAACATATGTAAGTATGAGTTTCAAATTAAAAAATGTGAGGAGCAAATATCAGTCTGAAATGGTAAATAACGATAGCAAAAAAGCCATCATAAATGTTCCTCGAGCCGATTTGTTTACTGGGGCTTCGGCTGCATTAGTAAACTTAATTAGCATCACATTGATATGCTAGATGAAACTGACGAAGCGGATCATAAATAACGATTTACAAATAGTAAAAAGTTACTGTAATATAGTGATTGGGTGGGTTTGTCTACCTGTTGCTTTAGTTTCTGTGGCGCGAGAGTCAGTTAGATCTCTCAGCCGTCTTTCTGGTTTAAAAGACAAAAATCACCTTGTTTGTCTGTATCCAACTGAGAAAAGCACAAAAAATATTTTTTATTTCCCCACTGTCTTAATTCCCTCTTTGTTTTGTGTAAACTACAGTTGATTCATGTGAAACATCCACTCCTGCACATCCTTTGCTAAATCATCAGACAATCTCTTGTCGGTGGAAAGACTGTAAAGCCGCGCGATGCGTGAAAAGCTACACTGTTTTAAAAGTAGCATCGCTACTGTAAATCTACTGAAAAATGTAGTTAAGTTAGTAGCGTCACTACTTGTAGCTAGCTACTCTCCAACACTGATTCTGTGTTTTAGCTAAAGAGCGTGCGTGGAGGAAAATTTTTGTTTGCTAAATATATATATATATATATATATACTGTATGTATAGATGTTCAGCTAAATATATCCTCAACATTTATATAGTGTCTCATAATGTATTTGCTGTCCATCCTCAATCACTTAAATGTAAATGTGTAATGATTAGGTCTAAAGACAAACTGTATGTCATTCCACTTCCAAACAATATTGAAAGAGACTAAAAATTGATTCCCGGGGGACTACTTCTGCAGCTTTATACAGATATCAATGCCAATTGTTGTTTTTCAGCTTTATTTCTCCATAAAATTTATAATGATATGTTATAATAATGCAATGATATAATATTAATGCAGAGTGAGTGAACTTCAGTTTTTGGCCATGCAATATAGACAGTGTTTACTTGACTGTACACTTTATAATGCATTCGCTTTCTTTATTTGTTGTATTACTTTCTGAAAGCAATGTATGTCCAAGTAATGAAGTGAATTCCAAGCATGAAGAAGTAAACTTACAAATTACTCAAAAATTTAACTTAAAATATACTACAACTTCAGGTTATTTAATAATGTACTTTGAAAGTATACTTTCAATGCATTGTTACAATGATAATTTTCAGCACACAGTTAAAATATTCATACATTATATTTAAGTAAAGTGCAAATAAACATACTTATAAAAAATAAACAGAACT